AAAAAAACACCAAAAGGCGGGGAAGGCTTTATGGCAAGAGAATAACACATTTCTAAGAGATGTAAATTTTTTTTGTATGTAGGGGGAACAGCGAGATAGCTCAGCAGACTAAAGTGCCTGCTTAGGCAAGCTTAGGCAAAGCCCAGAGACCATGGTTTGATCCCCGGCACCACATGTCATACCAGCCCCATGCCCAGGGCAGGCTGCACAGGCCACAGGAAAAAAAAAAAGATAAATTTTTGCACTTTAGAGGCATTATTTTTCTGCCACCCAAACTGCAAATTGTAATGCAAACTGGAGACTAAATTTTTAGGAATCTGACAGCTCCAGAGGATAACAACTTGGTATTTTTGCCCTATGGGTTGAGAATTTCCTACAGCAAAGACTGATAAAACACACAACCAATCAGAAGAAACAAACATCAGTAAAAGTCTCCACTTAATCTCTTCAACTTGCTTTACATTTTTGGAAAAAAAAAAATCTACATTAAAGACATCTTAAAGTTCTAAAATGTCAGGTGCAAAAAACTCTAGAGTAGGTTGCAAATAAGAAGGACGTGTTGCAAACCCAACTTTTAGTAAGAAATGTATACCTGACACCTCTTTCCAAAGATCTGAGGTGGGCTGATGATGGAGCTTAGTGGCACAAGTGCCTCAGTGGCAAGAACAAGGTCCTGAGTTCGATTCCTGGTACAAAAAAAAAAAAAAAAAAAAAAAACAACACAAAGATCTTTGAAATAAAATGTAGTAAAGCACAATGACTACATGTAAACCTGCCATATGTTTATATCTAATATACACACCCATTAATTAAGTGTCCATAAATGCACAATTACCAACTGTGGCTCAACCTGAAAACAATCTTTTCATACTCTCTGGTTTGAACTTAGCTATGCTACAGTTACCAAAAAGACCAAGTCACTCATTTCAGGGTTGGAGCTATTAATAAAAATTAAATTTTAAAAAAACCCTCAACTCCAAAGACTCCATTTACTTTCTCTTAAGCCCCTGTCCTCATTAAAGATTTGAAGAGATACAGAAATATTAATTGTACAGCAGTAATAGTATCATGACACGGCTGTATCATAAAAGACTAAAAAAATTAATCTAAGTCTACTAAGACTGTCACATTTGCCAGTAGCACAGAAAGAAGATGGATATTTTCCAATCTCAGGCCCCAAGCAGGCTGAAGTCCCCAGCCCTGCCCCCAAGGCACTGAGGTGGCCACAAAGTCCAGGGCGTGGCAGTCCACACCTGTAATCCCAGCACTGGAGAGACTGAAAACAGAAAGATCAACAATAAGTCTGAGCTGCATGGTAAGACCCTGTACAAAATACATAAATTTAAAAAATAAAAAATAAATAAGATGGATAAACAAGGAGCCACTCATGGGCTCACTTGCTTTGCCATGAACAGGTTCCAATCTTGTTTTGCCAACCCTAGAAACTGCGTATTTACACTCCTTTCTGAAATCTCAAAGGACTTTTCCATTAAGTTATGTTATCTCAGAACAATTTTGAGAACTGCACAAGCTTGGTGGGGTTGGGGGGAAGGGCACACAACACACACTTCTCCCTCATTTGAACCCAAATGCCAACTTGTCATTATATATTTTCTTTGTGGCAAACAATCATAAATAGTATAGCCAGCAGTCCAGTTCCTGACAAGAACTCAAATCCAGCTTAGTTACTTAGGTGTGACAGGGGCAGGTTCTGTAACATGACAAGGCCTGACTCCCATCTATAAACTGGGAAGGAAAACATATATAGATTCTATTGTATGATTTAAATAACACCCATACTAGGCTCTCAAATGTTTTATTAATAAATGTGTGCAGGCCATCACCAGTTCCCAAGCAGACATCTGTCAATGTCCAGAGACATTCCTGGTGTGCTACAGATATTAACTGGGTAAAGAAAGGCCAGGGATGACACTGAACACCCTAGGATGCACAGGACAGCTCCCAACAACGAAGAACTATCCTGCCTAAGATAGCAACAGTACTGAGAAACTCTGACAACAGAATACCTGGGAACATGGCAAATGCCCAGTGATAGTTACTATAATTTGATCTCCTTCCACTAAAATTTCCAATCTTCTGCACATACTGTGATTGCTAACTCAATGTACTGAATCGAAATCTTCCTGTTGACTGAAGTGCCAAGAGGCTGTATCAATGATGAAATTTGGGAAGTTGGAGGGGGGTACTGGGACTCGAACTCGGGCTATGACGCTTCTCAGGCAGGCGCTGCACCACTGAACTAAAACTCCCAGTCCGGACAACCAGATTTCATAAACTGCAGTCTCAAAAGATACACCTTGGGACTGGAAAGCCAATACACCTGAAATTGATATATTTTTATCTGGCTGGGCATGGTGGACCTGCAATCACAGCACTCGGATCTGAGTTTAAGGCCAGTCTGAGCTATACAGCAAGACTCTTTCAAAAAAACTAAAATATCACAAAATATATGTACATATTAATTAGTTAAAATAAAGTTCATATATGTGTAGTTTTCCTAAAAAGAGGCCCATCAGATTTCATTTTTCCAGCTCATTGTGCTCACTAGTCAGGGCTTTTTTCCATTCCTGGGAGAAAAGCCAAGCTCATTCAACCTCCAGATCTTCGGACTTACTGTTCCCTATACCTGGGACACCCCTCCCCCAAGAACTTCCCAGTGCCGGCCCCTTCCTCTCCTGGTGAGTGCTGATAATTAGATCGATGAATGCCTCAACTCCCAAAGCGGTCCGGAGCTCTCAAAAACGGTTGTGGGTCACTAACCTTAGATAGAACGGAAATGAAATAAATGAAAACCGGGGGTCCTACAGCCTGGGCAGAAGAGACAGGTATAGCCCCAGGGATCCCAACAGCTCAAAAGCAGGGCCCACCGCCCTCCGTACTAAAGAGAGACGAAGCGCCTCGCCATATGCGGCCACACTAACCCGGAACGGGCTGCGGGAGGCCGCGGCCGCGGGCTCGGCGAGGGCCAGCCCGGTCGCTCCTAGGCCGGGTCCGACCCGACCCCGACCCCGGGGCCCGCCAGAAGTCGCAGCCCGGGCGGCGAGCACGGGGTCGAGCAGGGTCCCGGCCGCCTCACCTGCAGGTGAACTTGAGGGCGAGAAGCAGCGCGCATCCGAGCGCCACGGCTCCGCAGAGCAGCTCCGGCCGCCGGCGGGCCATGAGGGAGGCGCAGCGCAGCCCGCGGCGGAGCCGGCCCGCCGAGGACTCTCTGGCCGGGTCCGGGCTGGGGGAGCCGGAGCCCGCCGGGCCGCCGCCACCGCCACCGCCACCCTCGTCCTCGGCGTCGTCGCTGCTGCTGCTGCCGCCGCCGCGGTCTCCGCATTCCGACATTACATGCTCCCCGCCGCCGGCTTTATACCGCCGCCTCTGCCGCTGCCTCGGGCCCGGGGGCCCGGCCAGGCCCGCAGCGCCCCAATCCCAGAGCCCGCCGCGGCCACTAACCCGCACCCTCCACGTCAGCCGCGTCTGCCTGGCGTCCCGCCCCCGACCACGGAGCATGCGCAGACGCCGATCTCGCCGGGCGGCCAGGACCGGAGCAAGCCACGCCCCCGAGCCCACGGAGTCTGCGCGCACGCTCGCTCAGCGTGCAGCCGCGTCATTTTCCTACAGGTCCCGCCTCCGGCCCAAGGCATCTGCGCAGGCGCCGCCCCGCGCCTTCGCAAACGTGAGTCTGGGCTCTTTCCAGCCGCTGCTTCTGAAATCGTGTTAGTCTCTGGAATCCGGGATGCGCAGATGGTTTGTAGAGGTGGTTTTTTTTGTTTTGTTTTGTTTTGTTTTGTTTTTTTTAGGGGCTATGATGGTAAAGGCAGTCGGGTCCACTGCTCTCACTACATGTTTTGAAGGACTAGATGTTACTTTTCGGAAGAAGAAGACAACAGTGCAGAGGTGAGAAGGGCCTAAGAACCCGGAGTGAGACCTGACACTCAGCCTCTGCTGCTCAAGCTCCTGGGGCTGTTATGCGCAGATTGTTTTCTAACGGGTGTTTTGAACGCCCGCCCTACAGAATAAGCACAGCACTAAGAAGGTGTTGTAATGTGTGCCCTGTGACTTTGAATGTTAGATCCAAGGGCTGCGGCGAGAGCTCGGCAGTCTTAAGCGCGTGGCTGGCAAGCGCAAGGACCCGAGTTCGATCCCTGGTACCGCATGTCGTGCTGGTCCCGGAACCCCAGGCGAGCTGTGCCCGGCCTGAAACCGGCGCGGTGGCGCACGCCCGTAAGCGCAGCACTGGGGCGGCTGAGACAGGAGGATCACTACCGAGCTGCGCAGTGAAACCCTTTATCAACAAAATACATAAATGTTAGATCCTATTTAAGTATGGTTTGTAATTAAAAAGGCAGAGTTGACAGGAATTGTTTCCATCAGGAAGAGGACCAGTGTCCCCCGAGTAAATGAATGTACACAATCATGTGGCTGCAGAAGCTTCGCGTTAAGATTTGGCCTCCAGCATCAGTCGTTAGGAACAGAGCTGGAAGTGGTGGTGAACACCTGTAATCCCAGCAGCTCTGTAGGCTGAGGCAGGAGGATGGGAAATTTGAGGACAGCTGAGTTGGGGATGGAGTGCAGCAGTCTGTGGGTGCAATCCTCAGGTTAAAAAACAAAAACAAAGTCACCCTACTAACAAAAAGGACAAAAACAACTTGAGGGGCTGGGGAAATGGCTCAGTAGAATAAGCGCTTGCCTGGCAAGCACAGGGGCCTGAGTTCAATCCCCGGTTCTGCAAAAAAAAAACAAAAAACAAAAAGCAACAACAAAAAAACCCACAAAACAACTTGAGGGAAATAACGCAACATAATGTTATAAAAAGAAAAGAAAAAGCACAGCTGAGAACTAGAGGTTAAGGTGGGTTCTCAAGTCAGCTTGTCACCCTAGATCTGTTTATATAAATGTAAAATGAGCTTTTGCTATGTTACCTGGATAGCTGTGCCAGACTTTGGGTGTATCCATGAGGGCCCAACATGTCAGTGGCTCATTTTGCTGTGTCCTGTATTTACATCTTTTTTAATTATCCTCTTTTTGAATTAAGTGAAAATTACCAGCTTAAATGACTTTTGCTTGCCTGTTGGTATTGGGAATTGAACTCAGGACCTCACACTTGCCACTTAGGTGCTGTGCCACTGAGCTATCTCCCTGACCCTCCTTAAATGATTTTTAAATAAGGGGTTTTTGTTTGTTTGTTTTCAGTACTGATGATCAAACTCTGGACAGGTAGGTGCTTAGGCTACTGAGCTATCTCTCCAGCCCCTTAAATGATTTTTTTTTTTTTTTTTTTTTGGAACCAAGATTGAACTCAGGCCCTCACACATGCCAGGCAAGCACTTATTCTACTGGGCTATCTCCCCAACCCCTTA